CACGTGTCCGCGCAAACTGAAGAGTTCTCACCAAAAGAGGGACTCACACCTCACGGCCCCAGGCTGCACGTGTCCGCACAAACTGAAGAGTTCTCCCGTCCCCCAGCCTGTTGCTTATGTTCCTCACTCCTCCTTCCCTGAAACACAGATGCAACGCTTGCTGTCGTCCGAGGTGAAATCCAAGCAATCACCAGTCCCAGAGGAGTCTATTTCTCTACCTCTGTCCCTCCCTTGTCCCCGCAGCCTGACGTGCACTATGACAGCACCTCATGAAGGTCTCCTCTGTTTCTGCCCCTCCAAAAGACATCCTCCTACTTACTCTTTGTAACTTCAAAATGACTATAAAGCTACAGGGATCAGGACAGTGTGTTACAGCTGAAGATGAGCAAACAGATCAATGAAATAGACATTACATCAATAGAAAAAAGAAAGGCTCCTCTAACACATGAGGCTTGGAAAACTAGACAACCACACAGAGGGAAAAAAAGTCCTTGGTTCACACCATATACAAACTACTTTGAGATAGATGGTAGACCTCAACCCAAAAGCAAAAAACAAAAAGCATAAAAAAATAAGAATAGATCTAGGAGAATATCTTTGTGACCCTAAAGTAGGAGAAATTTCTTTAAAATGCACTACTGATCAATACAAAACTGTAAATCACACTCTAGTAAAATTACAAACTTCTGCCCATCAAATGATAATATTAAGAAAACAGGTAAGCAGGCAAAAACTGAGGGAAATGTTCAGCAGACTTCCAGCACCCGGGGCCATCTCCTGTGCTCAGCAATCACTGGTGGTACAGGACACACCTGTGTCTTCAGCAGCTGTCCCTCTGCGGGGTACCTCTACTCACCCTGCGAGAACCGGCTCAGGTGTCTCTTCCTCCAGGAAGTCCACCAGAATTCCTAGGGCTGAGCAAGGTGCACACGCTCTGAAGCCTCCAATACCCAGAGCTTGCTTCTGTCATAGCACCTATTCCTTTTTTATAAAGAAACAGTTTTCCACTGCTGGGACTCCGTGAAATCCTCAAGAGAAAAAAACATGTCATTTTGGTCTTTGCAGCCCGGGCTAAGAGCACAAAGTTTGGCACAAACATTTGGGTGAACTGGGAAGCAGGCTGGTAGTAAAAATACTAACACTAGCACCCCTCGGGGAAGCTCCTGAAGAACAGGCCCCCTGGCAGAGACACAAGGAGAACACTCGACACTCAGAAGGAAGCCAGCTACGGCTCTACAAGGAGCCATGGGGCTGAGATAAAATACCCTCCAGAAATGCCAGGACACCCCAAGCTCTGCCTGCTCCTGGGCTCTAGGTCCACAGCTGAGCTGGTCCTCTCACACCTCACTGCCCACTGTGGGACACTACCGCCTTGCCATCCCCACAGCCTGCAGCTCCCACCAGCATCCTGAGGCCAGGCCCTACTCTGCCCACCTGGCTCAGGCCACACTCCGCTTGGAGCACAACAGTACCTGACTCCAAAGTTCAACACTTTGCAACTTCATTTATTACATAATTTAAAAGAACCCAAAAGATCTGAAATCAATATATCAAAGAGAGGTCTGCATGCCTATGTTCACTAAGGCACTATGAGGACAATTAAGTTCACAAACTCGTCCTAGAACAAGTGCGACATACCCTACTGGTGAGTATCACTACAGTCACCTCTGAAGTGCTCCCCTTGGGAGGCTACGCACCACTGCCGGTGCCTGGTCCACCCTTCAAGGCAACTTTTGCTGGAATGGCTATCAGAGCTGTTTTTGTGTCCCCCTTGATGTCCTAAATGTCATCAAAATGTCTTCCTTTCAATATTTCTTTTATCTTTGGGTAACGAAAAAAGTCAATGGGGGCCAGATCAGGGGAATAGGGAGGGTGTGAGCTGGTTCACTGTCATTATGCAAAAGTTACGAGTTGTTGGCGAAAGGTCAGGTTATTTTCATCTAAATTTTTCACGCAGCCTTTTTAGCACTTCCAAATAGGAAAGTTGGTTAACTGTCCAACTGGTACAAAATCATAATGAATGATCCCTCTGACAACAAAAAAGATTAGCAACACTGTTTTTACTCTTGATTTGGACTGACAGAACTTTTTTGGTCGTAGAGAATTTGCTAACTTCCGTTGTGAATTTCGATGCTTTGTTTCAGGGTCATATCGGTACACCCATGTTTCATCACCCACGATAATGTGGCCCAAAATACCATCTTGCTTCTCCAAAAGGTCTTGGCAAACTTCAACTCTCCTTGGCTTGTGTTCATCCGTGAGCTCCTTCCTCACCATTTTTGCACACACCTTTCCCATGCCAAGATTCTCGGTTAAGATTTTCCTGTTTCTCTATCAATGTTTACTTAGTCTGCTGTGCTCCTCACAGTCAGCCAATGATTCCGACACACAATTTGACAAATATTTGCGATGTTTTTGTCAAATGTTCATTACAGGCTGCCCTCGCTTCTCGTCATTAGTGACGCTTTCTCCCCTCAGAAACACATCTACTCCATTTGTACCCTGCCATTTTCTTCATGGCATTATCCCCATAAACTTGGACTAACATCTCTCTGATTTCACATCTACTCTTGCCAACTTTAAAAAGAAATTTAATGTTTGTTTATTGATCTATTTTAATCTCTGAGATTCTCGTGATGACAGACAAAAACACACAACAATAATGACCTCCACTCAGCAAGATACCATCACACGTGGACATGAACACAGCTGTGAGACGCTGATATACCAAGGTTACGAAACCTTACCGCGGGGTTTGTACAGTGCTGCCCACAGATTTGAACAATGGCAAGCACACAAACTTATTTGTCAGATCTCATGTTCACTATAGTCAAGTTAAGGAACCAACCTCAGTGCACATTAATAGGTCAATGGATAAAAAAACTGCAGCATACATACACAATAGAGTTATTCAGCCTTACAAAAGAAATTCTGCCATTTACAACAACATGGATGGAAACGAAGAATATTGTGCTAAGTGAAAGACGCTAAGCACAGAAGTATTAATACAAATACTACACATTCTTGCTTATACGTGGAATCTAAAACAATGGATCTCAAAGAAGCAGAGATTAGAGATTGGGGAGAAACTGGAATATCACAGTTAAAGCCTCAGAATGAATTAGTTTTTTTTTTTCTTTGAAAGACATTGCACAACAAAGAGAATATAACAAATAATGTATTATACATTTCAAAATTGTTAAGAGAATAAATTTCAAATGCTCTCAACACAAAAAATAATAAATATTTGAGTTAAAGAACAGGTTAATTAGCCTGAATTAATTATTCCACATTATATTTGTGGGCTATAACATCACTTTATACCCCATGAATATATACAACTATAATTTGTCAAAGTACAATTAAAAATGTAAAATTTTTTTGAAAAGAAAATTGTGCTACCCAAACTTAATCCCATTTTAATATTAATATGCCAAGCATAATCCTTTTATAAGCAATATCAATTATCATATTTTATGTTCCTTTGAAGAACGAAAAAAAAGAAGATAACTGGAAATCTGTATATTGGATGTTTAAAATGTCTATTTTGCTTCATTCTAATATTATTTTTTTCCTCTTTTAAAAAATTACTCAAATTCTATCCCACCTTTCCATCCACAGTGCTTTCAAGGAGCAACTGGACAGCAATGTACTGAGCAGATGACAACGTCCAGTGGAGAGCTGGTTCTGGGTCCAGAAGATCAAACACCATTTCCTGAGTGCTGCCAGCATCCACCGGGCAGGAGCAGGGACTCCTTTTGCAGATGCAAGGGACAAAGTTCTGGAATCTGGTGAGAAGCGGATCTCAGCACCCAGAGCAAAATGTTCTTTCCACTCTCCTAACCAGTCCAACCCTTACAGTTGACGCCTGTCCTTGAGAAAGTTCAAAGACAGTGAAAGTTTAACAGAGTAAACAGGGGTGGGAAAACTTAACTCTAGGCTAAATCCCTTCTATAAAATGCAGAGGTTTTCAGAGGCTGCAGCACGAAACTATAAAAAGAAATGCAATTAAGGAGAGTTTTTAATATATGTGATTCTTGACTGCCCTTGCCTGAGGCAGCAACTTAATTCTACTTCAGGACAGCTATCTTTGAAAAGCTGTTATGTAAATTATAAGGCGCAGGGTGAGGCAAAGGAAAGTCAGTTGAAAGAGAAGCAATGTGTTAATAGAGCTCCAGTTCAAAGAGGTGGTGGCCTCAGCTGGTTCACGACCTGGAAGCCTTGGAGACCACACACAATTCCTCCTTATCACTCACTACACTGTCTCTCCTTCTTTAACCTAACAACCAAAATAGAAAACTCTTTTCAGAAATTAGCTGGCCACAATATTTCTGAAAACATGATCTTTTCTCATTTGTTACAGCTGGAACTTGAAAGAAAACTACAACATATGCTCCGGGTTTTTTTAGAAACTGTTAGGTAAATTCCAAAAGGGAAGCGGTGGGCAGTTCATTCTCCATAAGCAGCCATATGGGAGAAGAAAGGCACTGAATGGAGAAGTCATTATTTTAAGTGCATCAAAATGGAGTCACTGTCAAACCCTAACAAAGTGGGGCCTGAGGCCTGAAGGTACATAAACCTAAGACAAGAACTAAGCAAGGAATTCCTTAGAACCACAGTATTCCAGATCAACTCCTTGCAGGAGGACGCTTGTCTGACATGGCTATCTCCACAGTGAACTAATGCCAACTCTTTCAATAATCCCCTAAAACCAGTGGTCTTTGTTTCAAAACAGTTTCCGTGGACTTTCCCTCTTCCCCTTGCCCCAACATCTTTGGATGGGCCTGTGATCACTTATTCCCAACTGCAATCCCCTACTATTCTCAAATAAATTAAAGGTTAGATATCTCTTATCTGAAATGCTTAGGACCAGAAGTGTTTCAAATTTCAGACCTTTTCAGATCATGGAATACTCTCATATCCATAATAAGGTATCTTGGGGAGGGGACCCAAGTCTAAACAGAAAATTCCTTTATGTTTCATATACACCTTTTAGACATAGCCGGAAGGTAATTTTATACAGTATTTCTAATACTTTTGTGCATGAAAGAAAGTTTGTAAATACGGAACCATTATCACTAAGCAGAGGTGTCACTATCTCAGCCTCTGTTGTGGACGATCTGTGGTTGTATAGTATCACCATCAATCCTGTCTGAATTTAAATACTACCAGTAAGGAATCAGTTTCTTCACTTACTCATATGTAAGTACTTGACAGTAAAAAAATGTGATATGCCATTAATACAGTGAAAAAGCATCACCAGAAGACCTGTGTCAGATGTCAGACAAGGACAAACAAGGGCTCCCAGTGGGCCGTTCAGGCTGCATGCATTTTACAGTGTGAACAACAGCACCTTCACTGTTGCACACCTTCATTTTGACGGAGACCCTTTACAAGGCCAGGTGTGAAATTTCCCACTTGTGGCATTATATCAACACAAAAAAAAGTTTCAGATTTTGGAGCATTTCAGATTCTGGATCTTCATGCTAGAGATACTCAACCTGTATATGCTTTGGAGAGTCAGTCTCTGGTGTTCTCATCAGAGTGATATAAGAAAGCATGCTTAGTGCAGTTCAGGACCCCTGACTCTCCAATGTTCTGGGCCCGCCCATCATGCCACTACACACTCCCACACCCGGTCCACCTGTTGCAACAGCGGGTAACAGGGTCAAGGCCAGGCTGGCACTGCCCTTTACCCCTGCATAGCACAAAGGAGGTTCCAGGCAAACTCTTGCTTTGAATTGAAGAAGCCAGGAAAGGTGTCCCTGGGGACTGGGAGTAATGTGCCCTGCCTCTCCAACTTTCACCATGGGGACCCTCACTGCTTCAACAGATGAGCTGTAGGCTCACAAATAAATCTGGTGAGGGCTGACGTGGAGGACGAGCCCCAGTGACATGATGTTCGTGTATCCAAAAAGTCACTTGGGCCCCTGCAAGGAAACTAGACCGACAGGGGCGGGCGAAACCCTTCGTTCCTCCCCTCACTGAGCATGTAGTGAATGCTTCCTACGAGCCAAGCCCTGTTCTAGAGAAAGTACAAGCCCGGCAAGCAGCAGGAGTTTGGATTTTATCCCAAGTTGGAGGGAGCTGGTGTTTAAAGCCCCAGCTCTGCCATTTTTAAACTGTAAGAAACTGACCTCTTTGAACTTTTGTTCCTCGTAAATAAATACCCTACACATTAGAGCTGTCAGGGATGCTGAGCGGCAAAACGTGTGACGTCAGTGCCCAAGAGTGGGAGCTAGAGCTAATTACGGGGGAGGACCCCAAGCTCCAGATTAAATGACTTGCACGTGGTGCAAAGTGGCAGGTCTGTCACTGTATTAGGCCCAGCCAGCTGAGCAGCTGCTTCCAGCCGGGAGCCTGACACTGCGGCCTGGAGAAGGCTTCCATTTCACAGAGGAGGAACCTGATGCCAGGCAAGGAGGAGGCCCAGCCAAGGTCCACCAAGCCAGAGTTGATAGCGCCGGGATTCGAACTTCGCGCC